AAAAAAAAAAAAAAATAGACAGTCCATTGGCACATGGTTCTAATGGAAACACACCAGACAAGACCAATCTGGCATAGCGTTTTTGTTGTTGTTTTAGAGACGGGGGTCTCTGTTGCCCAGGCTGGAATGCAGTGGTACAATTGGCTCACTGCAACCTCGAACTCCTGGGCTTAACCGAACCTCCCACCTCAGCTTTCTGAGTAGCTGGAACTACAGTCAGGCACCACCATGCCTGGTTGATTTGGTTCAACTTTTACGTATCAAAGTTGTGAATGGTTTTTCAGTTGCCCAGGTGAAGGTCATGTAACCCGAGCATGCCCTGATGAACCAAGCGAGCGGCCATGGGCAGAACCTAAGTGCTCAGACCCAGGAACAGGGACTGAATTAAGAAGACGACACTGCATGCCAGGACTCAGGATCCAATTTGATGGAGTCTCGGCAGCACCCCATTGCAAGATCCAATCAGATCATACTTCATTACCCTTTACCTATAAAACCTGCCCCAATCTCAGCGTGGGGAGAAAGATTTGAATGTTTCCTCCCCAGTCTAGTTGCAATAAAACTTTGCTGCTACGAAATCCAGATATTTTGGTGTCTGGCTTCAGTTGCACAAGGGCAAACTGACCCAGTTTGGTTCGGTAACACGAACAACGTTATCAACACAGTACCAAAGTTCCCTAAGCATCATAAAAAGGAAAATGTTGGAAGTCTATGCTAAAGTTGCCACTGTATTGTTTTGCAATTGTACCAGCCTTCGTCTACCCACCACTAGTTCCTTATTTTGTGACAAAAACAAATTGCAACTTGTTTACAAGGTTCCTTAGATTTTCTTTTATATGAAACCAACACAGATGTAACTTGTGGTTTTTAGCAGATGGTATGATTGTATTTTGTAGCAAATTGTGAATAGCAAGTATAACTATTTGATTTTCATTTAAGACACTGGAAATAAACTATAGTGACTATTTTGCATTTTCAATAAACTAACCATTCAACTGAATATTTCATTTATGGCAATTGCACATAAGGAAAATGTCTTCTTTTATCTGTATAAGAAATGATTTCTAGAGTAGATTTCTGATTATAATAGATTGGATTATAAACCTTTTGTAAATGCTTGGGTTAGTTACAATTGTGATTTTTGAGTCAAGGGTCAATCACATGAATCCATGAATAGAATAGTCTTTCATTGCAAGTAGCTTACTGCAAAATAAATACACTATTAATGAAATCATAAAGCATTATTTGGACCATTTTTTCATAGGTTTTTGAGAGATAGCAGACAAGCAACTAATTGTACATAAGGTGTATAAAACATACGATTTGATGAGTTTTGACAAATATATAGACCTATGATACTATCACCACAGTGAAGATAATGAACGAAATCAGGACTCCCATAAATGTTCTCATGCCTCTTTGGACTCTCTTCTTACCTTTCTTTCTCACTCTTCTGTAGGTCTCCAGGCAATCACTGACCAGTTTTTCCCTACTATAGATGAGTTTACATTTCCTATCATTATATATAAATTGAGTATTTTTTTCTGGCTTCTCTCAGAGCATAATTATTTTGAGACCCATCCATACTGTGTGTATCAAGTTTGTTGCTCATTATTACTGAAAAGTATTTCACTGTGTAGATGTACCACTTTGTTTATCCTTTTATCTATAGATGGACATCTGGGTTGTTTTCAGCTTCCGACTATTATAAAGAAAGCTGTAATAAACATTGTGTGGGCATATATTACCTATGTCTTTGTGTGGGCATATATTACCTATGAGTGGAATGGCTAGGTCTTAGAGGAAACATATCCTTAACATTTTAAGAAACTGCCAGCTAGGCATGGTGGCTCATGCCTGTAATCACAGCATTTTGGGAGGCCAAGGCAAGAGGATTGCCTGAGCCCAGCGGTTTGAGACCAGCCTGGGCAATATGGTGAGACCTCCTCTCTACAATAAATCAAAAACTTAGTTGGATGTGGTGGCAGCACCCATAGTTCCAGCTACTAGGAAGTCTGAGGTGGAAGGATCGCCTGAGCCAAGCAGGTTGAGGCTGCAGTGGCCACTCCAATTGACAGAGTGGCCACTGCAGAGCGCAACTCCAATTCAAAAAAAAGAAAGAAATTGCCAAATGGGTGAAACATTTTGTATTCTCATCAACAATGTATGTAAGTTCCAGTTACTCCACACTGTTGGCACTTCTTGGTATAGACAATCTTTTGAATCTTGGCAATTCAACAGGATATCCAGAGATACGTCATTGTGGCTTTATTCATGCTTCCATAATCATTAATAATACTGAGCACCTTTTCATGAGCTTACCTATTAAACTGGGCTCATTTACTGCTGAATATTTTTCTTACAAATTGATTAACGGTAGATTTGTTGGCAGCTGTTATCATCTTAATTATGTTGCATTTTTTCCAAGTTTTGCACAACTTAAAGAAATAGCTTCTTCTTTCATGCCTACCTCCAGTTCACCTGCTGTAACTTACCATGAGACCACCTGTTTTGGGAACTTCTGGTAGCTCTTTTTCTTCCTGGGTGCCATCCAACTGAGAAGAATGGTTTTCACAAGTATCACCTGGCTGATGAAAGAAATGAAAGTCATTTTTATCTAGGCATATCTTTCCAAATGTGATTGCATATACAAGTATGTATTACACTAGAGTTTGTGTATTATCTGTACAGTTGTGTGGAGACATACAGCCTGTGTGTTGATAACAGCACTTACCAATTCATCCATAATTATACTGATCCACATAAATGCTGTGCACTATAATAGGACTGGTCTCAGAGGCAAACTTTGCTAGCTGCCTGGCACAATCTGCTTTTCTTTTCTTCCTTAACTTATGCATATTGCTCCAAGATGCTGTGTATCTAACTAAAAAGACTTAGTGTGAGCATATGATGGTTATGTCCAATGAAATAAAATGGAATTCTACTTGGTGGAGTGTCCAGGAAGATGAATGACTTCTTGTTAAAGTGGATGAAATCAGCTACCAATGCTTCCTCCAGGAACATGGACATGGTACCAGTGATCCCCAGACATCTTATACATATTAACTATTAGCCCATACACTAACAAGAGCAGAGTGGAACGATGAAAAAGCTGATAGAGCCATGCTAGGGCAGCCATACAAGCCTTGGTTTTCCTCCTTAAGTTTCTTCTTTTTATAAGAAGAGTAAAACTCTAATTGCCCGAGTCATGTGACTTACTGATAAAGCCACGCTATTTTAAAGCCAGGTTTTATGACTGTACTTTGCAATGACTTATACTTCAGTAGCCAAGAGAAAAGCAGCATCATGAAAAAGAACTATAGTGATAACCATTTTGGGACAAACACATAATTGAGGAAAGAGAAGAATGTTTGTAATTATTTAATAACTTCAGAGATTTGAGAGGCTATTGCAGTCATAAGTCAGGAACTAACTATAACAATAAAAGGAGGATCAGTGAAAGAAGTGGCATTCTTATGAATTCACAGTATGATTGCTGAATTCAAAATTCAATAGGGGCAAAATTATAACTATACATGGCAAAATTAGCATAATAAAATGACTAAAAATTAAGGATCTACAAAACGAAGTAGTCGAAATCTGCTGGCATACAGACTAAACAGAAAAAAGACTGGAAAATGTAAGAGACAATGGAAGATAAGTGAGTTTAATCCAAGCAATGAAAGAAAGAATAGAGAAAATGGAGAGAAAGAAATAATCACAGAAATGATGGGAAGAAAATGTCCAAAATTGTAAGGAAAGGAACAGTTTCAGAAAACAAAAAGCTGAGGGCTGGTCATGATGGAAAAAAATATTTCATATCCTGTTGATATTCCAGTTCTCCAAAAATAAAGATAAACCAAAAAAGTTTCCAGAAATATAAAAATGAAAACAGGATATAAACAAAGGGATATGTTTTAGAAGGTATCAGACTTCTCAGCAATAATACCGAATGAAAAAGCAGATGGGTCAATATCTACAAATTTCTGTAGAAAACTGATTTAGGGCCTCTGGCTTAAGACTCACCAATTTGGGATTTAAGTTTTTTGTATATGAAAATTTAGTATCCAGAGACATTTCTTGCCAGGTTTGCTCAGAGAGTAAAAGGTACAGTCAGAGAAGATGTTACATTTTGTAACATATGTGGTTATACCAGTTGGTATTGTTATGATTCTTAGTCATTTTAGTAGGCTATCCCTAATCATTGTCCTGAGAGATAGGACAGTACCCGCTTCCTCATTTTATAAACTGGTAAGCAGCTCAGGGATGTGGCTGGGGTAACTTAAAATGTTTTCTACTGTGTCAGTGAAAGGTTTATTCATGTGTTTGGTACCACGCTTGCCCCCAATTAATCTTTAAAAGGTGGTAAGGGCTTCAAGGATTTGAAATGAAAGAAACAGTAAAAGCCAAGTGGGAGAAGAACATTTTGACAGAAGACTGGGAAGGGAAAGGACAAGCAGAGCCATGCGGTAATTCTGCTTCCATCTGCCCATTTGAGGATCCTTCTGGTACTTTATTCATTCTCTCAGATGGAGCTCAAGACAGAACCATTTCGCTTTACACCAAAGCTATAGTCAGTGGGTTGGCAGAGCATAGTTGGACGTGGGTGAGTGGTAGCTGATGAGAGAGAAATGCAGGGTGAGCTGATGTAAAATCATTTCATAAACACTGAATTCAAAGGCCAACTTTTATCATACATGGTAACTGTGAGTTACTAAACCTTATCTTTGGACCATTGGCATTGCTTTTGTTTGCACATCAAATTCATTTTTAGGCTGGGTGTGGCAGATCATGCCTGTAAATCCCTGCACTTTGGGAGGCCAAGGCAGGACTGCTTGAGCCCAGGAGGTCAAGCCTAGCCTAAGTAACATAGTGAGACCCTGTCTCTACAAAAAAAAAAAGAAAGAAAAATAAAAAAAATAGCTGGTGTAGAGGCACATACCTGGGAGGCTGAGGTGGGAGGACTGCCCAAGGTTGAGGCTGCGGTAAGCTGTGATTGTGCCACTACCCTCCAGTCTGGACAAAAGAGTGAGACCCCATCTCAAAAAATATGTATATTCATTTCTAAGTTAATGCGTAAAAGGCCTGTGTCTGGGGGCATGTCTCCTTATTTTTCTGGATTGTTTAGAGTAAGTACTAAGTGAGTGTTTGGTAAATAACTGCAGTTGTTTCATTTTGATTTTCCTGAAATCAAAGTTGACTCTGGTCATTACTTTTTAAGAGTCAAAGAGGAAAATAAAGGCAAACAAAATTAATTTTACTTCCCTACACCCAGAAATATATTATATTGGGAGATCTGAAGAAGAGAGTCACCAATGCAGGCCTGACACACTCTCTCTAGAAAGGCTTGTTTGCAAGGTTGTCTCTTGGCTGGTGTCTGGGAACTTGCATTTTAGGAGGTTCCTGTCATGCCCTAAATATTAAGATTGGGTCACTGTTCCCCAACTATTCGAGCAAAAATATGTCTTATGCGGAACACCAACTTTCCTTCTGGGAGTCTGAAATTTTGTCACACATTAGATAGAGGGCGCCTATGTGATTAGCCTCTAGTAAAAATCTGGGGCTCCGAGGTTTAAAAGAACTTCCTTTGGAGACAGCAGTTTGTTGCTGAAGGAGTTGTTGTATGTGACTCCACCAAAAGAGGACTCTTAGCACCTTGTACCTAGAATCCCTGGATTCTGTTCTATGAATCTTTTCCCCTTTGCTGATTTTGTTTTTTATCCCTGTGCTGTAATAAATCATAGCCACGAGTATGACTTTATGTTGGGTCCTTTAATCTTACCAAATCACTGAACCTAGGGTTGGTCTTGGAGACCCCTGGACACAGAAGCAAACCAGAATATATATTTTTGATATTTAAATTAATTCAGTTTATAAATATTTTAAAATTATTTTAAAATTCAGTTTATAAATATGTGAAGACTAGCACTTGTCAAATATATATATCCTTATATAATGATCTACATTAGCTTCTGCTTCAGATGATCAGATCTAAAAAAGGTAAGAAATATATTTTCCAGACTTTATAGGCTTCTGCTTGCCTGATGCAAAGTCTGTAGTTCAATTTAAAAATCTACTCACACAGTATCCTTACACAACATACACTTCTAAAACAGAAGTTTCTCTACAATGTCATACTGAGAGAGGAGAAAATCTACAAAAAAATCACCGTTTTATTTTCTCTAGTTTGGAAGAAGTTAGAAGATACAACATGAGGATAAAAACGAGAAAAGAAATAAAGTCTGCCCAGACTAATAAGGGTCTCCAGCTAGGGGGAGGAGTGTAGGTGTGGTGTAAGATCTAAAATAAGGCTCAATAATTATATGATGCCTTGACATCTGGTTTGCCATAATAGTAAGTTCTCTTCCCAACTTTGCTCCTGCTGATGTTGTCCAGTCAAACAACCCTCCTTATCCAGGGGACAGTCCTTAGTTATCCCTGCACAGTGGGATTCAGTTCTCTACCAGCCCATGGAATTATTCAAACAAGCGAATCACATTCTTCTGGGGAAACCAGGGGGCATCCACCCTGTTGATACTACAGGCCCTGGTGGTTCACTCTGTTCCCAAGAGCATCCTACATATGACCCTGTGGGGGGCAGCAGAGAGGCGCAAACGTCTCAGGTCAAGTGTCCAGGTTGGAAGTAAAATACTTCGTAAATCTCCCTATTCCGAGGGAACGATCTAAAACCTGAGGGCACCTGAGGCTGATGCAACAGAAAACACAAAGACCTCTGAAAGAAGGAGTGAATACTCTTAGGAGAAATACAATAAAATCAGAAAACAAGACTATGATGAAATCTGCAAAACAGGATTGCTTACAGCACCAGCTGACTACATGCACTTCCAGATCTCAGCCTGCCCTCAGGCAGCAGAAGAGCAGCCCGGACACAAAGTGGCCACATCCAAACCATCCTGTAGAGTCTTGGAAGGGACCAAAAGTTGGCCTGCATTAAGACCATTCTAAGATCCAGATAGAGTGCCTCCCATAAAACAGATATAAGATAAAAATAAACTATATGGAAACTAAACATCATTTATCATCACCACCTTCGCCAGATCATGGACAGTACAGAAGTCATTCTTGGAACAGTCAAGAATTCCTCTTCCTCTAACAGGAAAGAAAAAAAGGAAAGCTAAAGAGAGGAAAACATACTGAAGCATAACTAAGGAAAGTCTCCCATTTACTGGTCTGCTACCGTGAATCCAAGTGGAGGCTGATGTCAGCAAACCCCCGTCCTTCTATGACTTCTGTTCCTAGTGTACCATTTCAAAAGGAGGACCCAGGCTTTGTGCCAGATGGTACTGATCATGGCATGGGATTCACCTCATATAAATAAAGCCTTCATCAGAGACACAGCTTCATTGACAGATTAGCATTCTTTGAAACTACTAAAATGGACAAGGTGGGCCGTTACGAAATGAGTTGACTTCCTGTGTTAGTGTGCTTTTCCCACTTATTGCCACACATTTCAGATAATATGATATGATGCTGCTCCCCAGAAAATATTTACATGTAGAAAATAATTGATGGCTGGGTAGGCGCAGTGGCTCACACCTATAATCCCAGTACTTTGGGAAGTTGAGGT